TTGCACGGCTCCGCAAGACTCAGAAGCCCTCAGGTTAAGCGTTAGAGGACCGTCATTATCTGAATCTTCCGGGTAAATTAATAATTATTTATTCTGTTCGTTTAAATTACAAACATTTGTTTCTTTACTGAAATTTTCAATTACAAATAACTCTTGATTTTTATAAAGAGGAGTTGTATTTTTTGTTCCATCATTATATAAAATTGTAAAAAATGCTTTTAATATTATTTATATTTTCTCTTAAATGACTTTTTAAATTATATTGTATTGAAAAATTTTCTTTTTTAAGTAAAAATCAAAATCTTCATAATTAGTTTTGATATATTTATATCTCATATCATCTTTATCAATACTATCATCTATTTTTGTTTTTTCATTGTTACTATTTTTTTTGGGTTTTTCAATAACTTTGTTTTGTTTAATTTTATTTTCTTTGCAATTCCAATTATTAATAAAATTTTTAGATTCTTTTTTTAATAAATTAATTTCTTTTTCATCAATTTCATATTCAATATTATCAGAACCATCAGACACAATATAATATTCATCATCACTATTTTTTTTATAATCATATCTATATCTATTTCTCTTTTTTATAGGCTTTCTTTTGTTGATTTTTGATATGTTTTTAGGTTTAAAATTTTTAATTTTCTCAATATCAGAATCAGAATCATCACTTGAAATCACAAAGTTGTGTGATAAATTAATTTTATATCCACTACTTGTTTCTATAGAAATAGATTCTTTGTTTTCATATTTGTTAATCAATTTGGTTTTAAAATTTTCTTCTATTTTTCTTTTTCTATGATTGTACATATCAATATCAATATTAATTTTTTTTTCTAATTGTCTTGTTTTCAATTCTCAGGATCGATAAGATTTGATATAATCTTGAATTAAAGATTTATTTTTAAGATCGATTTCAATTTTTTTTTCTTCTGCTTTTCTGAAAAAATTATCCATATATTTTTGAATATAATGTTTAATTATCTTATATTCTTTTGTAAAATTTTCAGTTTTATTATCATCAATATCGTAATAGTAGTATGATTTATTTTGTGAATAAAAGATAAAGATGATTTTATCTTTTTCTTGTAAAAAAGATAATTGTTTGATTTTTTTTGAAATGGTTTCACTTTCAAAAGTTTTTTTATAAAAAACATAAATGAAGATAGGAATTGATAAATATTCTTCTTTAATTTCAGTGTAAATTAAATCATTATAAGTCATTATTTTAAAAGACTCCTCTTTCGATTGTAAACCAAATAAAATAAATTGAATAAATGGTCGAATCAAGTTAGTTATATCAGTTTGAGTTTGATTTAAGAACATTTTTACTGATGATGATTGATTCTAAATTTTTGTAGCAGTTATTTTTATTGTATTTAAATTATTAATTTAAAATAAATATAAATAATAATTGATTTTAAAATTAATAATCAAGAAAATGTTCGTGTATATTTACAATTACATAAAGAGTTATTTTAATAACATGATTCAAAATAAAAAATATGTTGAATACAAGTATTACTACAAATATTCTGTGGAATTTCGTAATGAGATTATAAAATAGATAAAAGGATCAACTATCAATCCTTTAATCGCAAAATTAAAATAGGAATAGTTAATTACCTTTAATTATATCGATGAGTTAGAAAATAAATTAAAAAAATATGACCAATTTAAATTTGAAGAAATCATCAAGAAAATATGTAAAAATTTAGCTATAAAAGAAAGGAAGGATGTGGTTGAAAACATCGAATCGATTCTTAAATTTTTACAACATATTATTAATAAATAATATGGCACTTAACGAGCAATATCTGATATTTGATTTGAACATATCACATACTCGAAAAATATCGGTAATGGGGTTGATAGAACAATTAATAATGATGAATGTTATGATTGAAGAAAAGGCAGATATTTTTAAAAAAGCATTTCAAAAATATTTTATTAGTACTTTTGACTTTGATGGAAAAATCAATCCTTTAGAGTTAGAAGTGTTTACCAATCATACAAAAGAAATTTGGTATGATGAAGATAAAAAATCACATAAATGTGAAGAACTTGTTAATCTAATTATGAAATTACACAAATCTATAAAAGATAATATATTTGTATTAGGTGATGAAATATTATTAAAACGCTCTAGTATAATTGATATTTATTGTAATTATTTATCAAAGAATCCTGTAGATATAAATCTTGAATTGATAAAAACTGAAGTTAAGGCAATTTGTGAAAAACTTCAGATGAATTACACTCAAAATATATACATGGACCTCGATTCGATATTGGAAGTGGTCTTACAAATTATTAGAGATAAATAAAAAATATTATACCACTTTAAATAAAAAAGAATATCTATTAATCAATTTTGATAAAATGACACATGTGAAAAGAATATATTTTTTAAGATGGGTTAATAATAGCAAATATGAAAAATCTTTATTTCAAGATGTGTTAATGGATTTGTGAAATAACAAAACACCAAATAAAAATTTAGATAGGATTTTTCAAACTTCATTACTGTATCATATTAATAAATTTAAATATTCCAATGGTTATTATAATTTTTTTAATGATGAATATAAAAAAAATTATTTAAAAAGCTTTTTTGATACTGTAAATGAGTATTGTAATTATTTAAAAATTAAAGAACAAAATAGTGAAGTGAAACCCAATCAAAAAGAACCCGAACAAGGAATAACATTTCTATCGATTGAAAGATGAATTACTCAACAGAAAACCCATTAGTTAGTTTTTCAGATATGTTATTTGTACACAAATTACATTATATTTGTAAATCATATTTAACTACCAATCCGAAAAAATATCAAGAATTAATAATAAATTATTATAAGAATGGAGATAACCTTAATGTTTCAAAAGATATAGTAACATGGAATCATTTAGAAGATGTTGTTATTCATAACCAACCTATTGATTATGAAAAGAAAAATAAAAAAGCCTATGATTATTTAACAAACAGAGGGGTGAATAAATATACCAATATTGATTTTCTTAAAGAGATCCAAAAATATTTTTCATATTTATTAAAAAATAAAATTGAAAATAAAAATAATGACGAGTATGAAATTCAGAATCCTATAACAAGATTAAATCAATTATTTTTTCTATATTAAATTAATAGAATTTCACATAGTAAATATATTAATAATGGAAAGAAATTTCAATTAATGTGTATTGTGTATTATTTTGGAAGTAAAGAAGTTCGAAGAGATGATGTGAAATAGAAACAAAATGACGTAAAGATTTTGATAAAAGAAGATTATGATGGGGTGATGAAAGGTAAATCAATAACTCTGGATATTATTGATAATGTAAATAAAGTTTCTTATTCAAAGTTAGATTACATAAATGAACCACAAAATTATTATGAATACATATTACACGTTTATAAAAAAGGTTTGATACATGATTCTGTTAAACTTGTTAACCAAAAATTGAAATTATTGAAAGAAGAGGTTAATTTAATTAAAATTTTATATGAAAAAGAGGTGAAAACACTAAAACAAAAATTTGCTTCATTCAAGAAATTGATTGAGAAGCAAGAAAAGATCGATACATCTGTAACAGAAATTTACACAATGTTAAGCATAAATTTAGATAATAATTTATTAAAGATATATCATGTTTTATTATTAGATAATAATATAAATGTTACAAATTAAGAAATTATCAAATATATTTGTAATTCTTTAAATATTATATATATAGAAAATAACGAATATCAAAATCTTGTAAATATAAAAGAATATATCAAAAAAAGAATACTTATAAATAAATAATAAATATTTTAAATATTTTATTTAATCTTCATTTGTCTAGGAATATCTATCTATATTCTCTAATTCTTTTGCTATTTGAATTATTAAGAATTGTAATTTATTTGAAAGAAAATAAAAATATAATTTATTCTTTTTTAAAACATTTTTTTATTTCTCTAATTCATTTTCAATTTTTGAATCTGATCTTATAAATCATCAAATTTGTTTTCTAAATGAGTTGCATGGCTTTAACAATTTCTTTTTTTTTTTTTTTTTTTTTCCTTTGATAACCATGCACTAATTTATTAGACTATTTGCAATTTACAAAATTAACTATCTAATTTATA